AAACACAGGACATATGTGGATTGCTTAATGCATACTGTGACACTCTTAAATGCTTTTTATATGTAGTGTCGCTATTCTGCCACTAGATTCTCTGCGTAAGCATGCTCAGAGGTGTGCTTATATTTACACACATTTCTACATATAAGTACAAGTTGGTAGATCCCACACTTTGCGTGAAACTGTTCTTAGGCACTCATTACGCACACATCTGTGCATACGCACTGTTGATAAATGAGGCCCCTGGAATGACAGTATTTATTTCTGGGACTGAAATTCACACAGCATCCACAAGGGGGTGGAGTTACTTTACAATAGTACAGTAGATGGTTATGAGATGCATGCTTGCATTTAAAAAAAAAAAATTGTCATTATTAATGTTGTCACAATACCAAAATTTCAGTTGTAGGTAACAATATCAAACAAATATCACTATATTATAAAATTATAAACTACAACAGAAAGATGATTATCGTTACATTTGTAAAATTTTACCAGTGACTTTCAGCATCACATGTCATTATATATTTAAACACTGGGGTTGCAATTAAACAATTAATAATAATCATTAAACAAAAATTAATTCATTTCAATTAATTGTATATTATTTTGCAGGTTATGCGCAGTAAGATGCCAAACCCAGCACACCTGGCTATAGCAGAGTGTGAGTCCCGTCTCAGTAAGCAGGGGCGCTCTGTTGTGATCATCACTCAGAACATCGATGAGCTGCACCATAGTGCTGGTTCCAAACATGTCTATGAAATCCACGGTGAGACAACAGCTACTCAAACCAGGACTGGAGCATGACACCATTATTGTACATTTATTATTGGTTAACATCTGATTAACAGAAATGAAAATGATAGGGCATCTATTTGGTTGGTGGGGATTTTGTCCCATCTTTCCATAAAATCATTCCTTCAAATTGAGGATATTCCCTTCAACTGATCTGTCTCCCTCTCCCTCTCTCTCTCTCAATCTCTCTCTCTAGGTAGTCTATTTAAAACCCGCTGCATGAGCTGTGGAGAAGTCAAAGCCAACCACAAGAGTCCAATCTGTCCTGCTCTGGAGGGGAAAGGGTAAAAGCTCATGCAAACACATGACCATTATTTCATCAAATATTTAAACCACAAGAGAATGCACTCTCTGTATATGCTTTTCTCTTTCTTTTTTCAATTCTCAGAGAGCCTGACCCCAGTTCCAAGGATGCCAGAATACCAGTGGAGCACCTGCCCAGGTTTGTGATTGTGGTAACTTTACAGATTTTCTTTATGCACCAAGAGCTTGTAACACTCCAAAGAGAAAGGAAAAATTGAAATCGCATCATATGACCCCTTTAAATGCAGATCAGTAGACTGTGCTGATTAGTCAGAATTGCGAGACTTTGTTAAATACAGCTATTTTACCAGGTGCCATTCCATTATGAAATGATGAGAAATGTTTCTTGAGCACCGATGTTATACTGTACGCATAGCAGAATGATTTCTGACGGATCCTGTGACACTGAAGACTGGAGTAATGGCTGCTGAAAATTCGGCTTTGCATCACAAGAATAAATTAAATTTTTAAATATATTAAAATACAAAACTGTAATGTTAAATTGTAATAACCTCAACAACCGTTATAGCTGGACTTCATGGGGCAATTTATAAAAAAAGATGTAAAGATCAAAAGAGAAATAACTTGAATAGTAACACTTTTTCTTCAACAGTGGGCAGCATATATCCACGTGCCTAATGATTCATGTTCAAAGATGTTAGTTTTGTACTTTGTGTTTATAGGTGTGACAGGAGTGGCTGTAACGGATTGCTGAGGCCTCATGTGGTTTGGTTCGGAGAGACTCTGGATTCAGATATTCTCACCGCTGTGGAGCAGGAGCTGGAAATATGTGATCTCTGCTTAGTTGTGAGTGATAACAGATTAATGCATGAAACTCTATTACAGAACCTAGTGAGCTGCTGGAAAGGATTTTAAGGCATCAAGAATATGCCAGAACTTGGGCTGCAATTTTATTCTGCCATCTATAATACCTTATTTTATTGAAATCCAAAATTGGCGTCACGTTATTATTTTTAGCTTACTGAAGTATTGAGTTGTTAGCTTAGCAACAGGCTAACACCAAACTCCATTTGAATCAATTACCAGAGATCAGTTCTACACAAACAGTCAGTAATTTTCACAAGCCTTCAGCATGCAAAAATAGCTTAATTTCAAAACAGACATTGCTGAAAGGAAAGCTATTTTACAGTTTATTAAGTAAGTCATATGTAGATTTAGTAACTGCTTTGAGGAATTTTGTGAATTGATTCAAAACAGTATTATTATTTTAATTATTTTAATATGAGTTAAAATTAATCATTTAAAGAAGCTGCTCAAATGGGTCATTTGTTCATGAATTGGACATCACTGGAGTTGTAAGTTAGTTTTTTTCGTGCAGCTCGCGAGGTGCCCAGTCTTTTTATCACATCACATTCAATTCAGACTGCTAAATTACACTTACAATTCGAGTAAATGTGATTTATGTTTTTTATACTGTGACTCTAGAGATTCAGCATTGCAGGAAACCCTGGCATAACCGCAACAGAAACAATACTCTAAAATACTATTTTAAAAAAATTATACCGGTTAACATATTTCTGCTGTTTTGAACATAGGTTTGCGAGGTCTGTGACTAAGAAGGTAGCTGCCTGTTTTGGAACGGAGCATAAATGTCTGCCTAAAATATTTACAACACAATATTGTTAATCCCTCATACAGATGAGCATGTGCTGACAGCTTTACGTAAAGAATTTGTCAGCTCTGACTGTATTCTGTGTTTGTCTATTTTTTGTTTTCATGTCTCTAGGTGGGCACCTCCTCCGTAGTTTACCCAGCAGCCATGTTCGCTCCTCAGGTGGCAGGTAGAGGAGTGCCTGTAGCTGAATTCAACATGGAGTGCACACCTGCTACTAAGCGCTTTAAGTAAGACATACAAATACACAAACTATCACTTTACATGAGTCACAGAGATGCCTCTCAGTCAGCCCATTCAACAGGATAACGCATAGCTGCTCTATTGCACACAAGCCTCCACATGCGCTCTGACTCTAAGTGACGTGTCTCACTGTCGCATTTGAGCAAACACTGAACAGTAGATTTCACAAAACAAATTGAACACCTGCGTGTGGTTTATTTGAGATGTATTTCCACCAACAGATATCACTTTGAGGGTCCTTGTGGTGTCACACTGCCTCCTGCCCTGGAACGCCACGAGAGCGAGGCCATTTAAGGAGAAAGAAGGCATGACCCATTTGTTCATGCCCACTTCATAGAGCACTTAAACTGAGAGCACATGGGATTGGTTCATGCCTTCATGTGATTGGTTTTCCTATGCTTTTGTGTGCTGTGAAGATTTACTGCAAAACTGGGCTGAAATTCAATTTTAAATAGTGTCTTTGAGTGTTTGCTTGGCCTATGTAGCAGCATTTTGTGCAAGTTGTGTTTTTGGCAGTGGGTCTTAGTAGATTTTTTCCAGCGGATGCATGGGCAACTTAGATAATCTACAGTGTTTCCACAGTCATGGAACCCTGGGAATTTACAAATCATCATTTCCAGACTCAAGGAAAATAATCGTATTAAGAGTTATGGAAACTTAATGAGTAAGTTTTCAATATGATCAGCTCTGAAATATCTAATCAGCTTAAAATAACTGGCTGGAAAAATCATGGATATTGATTGGTCAAATGTTGTGGGAACCCTGAATGTAGGACTAGACTCAAGTGCAATATAATGATTTTGAACGAGCTGTATCAAAATGATCACAGACAGACACAGTGGATATGAAGTCAGGAGTTTTATTTTAAATAAAATGACCATAAAATAAAGTGTCCAAGGGGAATACTTGAGAACAGAGTACATGAACAGGATTTATGTACTCTCTTTATGGTTTTCCTTTAAATTCTATGGTTGGTGTTCGGTCAAATTGCGATTAAATGCTTTAAAAAAAAAAAAGCTCCAGGTTTGCTGTATGTGTTTGTAGGGCTGCACAATTTGGCCAACAATAATTATATCAATATGACTTTTAATATGATAATAATATTAATATTTTATTATGAGTATGATAGAATATATACAGTATATTAAATAATAATATTATTACTAAATAAAACTATTAAACTAAAGAAATGTTTCACTTAAACAGTATTTAAGAAAAATAATAATAATTTTATTTTATAGTACAACAGGAAAATTACAATACTAACCTTTATTCTGGCAACAACAAAAAAAACCGCAAGGAGCCCTTAAAATGTCTTGTTTGTTTATAAGTGCTTTTCATTACAGTTAGGAAATATGGTTGACGCATGTTGTGTTCCCAGATACACATAATAAACGACCCAAACTCAGCACATGTCGAAATGAGTTTGTTTAGAGCAGCATTTACTACAAACAGAGCCGCTCTGAGACTGAAAACACTGGATCATGAGCTGCTTGTGTGAAAATGAAGACAGTGCCTTATTTCAGTCCACACATACACATATTTATTTACATTGCAGATTTTGCCATTTGAAAATCGTGCTAAACCATATTGCGATTTTATTTTGTTTCGCACAGCACTAGTTTGTGTTTTGATCGATATGAAGGTTGACTGCAAAATTTGTCAGAGATTACTGGTTAAATAGTGCCTTTTTAGCCAGTGGTTGGCATTAGTATGTTTTTTTTGTTGTTGTCAAAGTCAATAGACAAGTTTGAGTGACTCTGTGTGTGTTTGTGTGTCTGCTTGAGTGCATGCACCCTGTGGCATCGGGTCACCTTGATTCTGTCTAGTACGATGCCAGATTCTACGGTCCAGCTGGAAATCTCTCTCTCCCTCTCTTTGTTTCACTGTCATGACTTATAAATGCACATTTGCGTATAAGAAATTGAATGTGTCTTCACAGACTGACACTGTTACTAAAATGCTGTTTTGGTTTTTATATGTGTGAGATGGGTAAGGGGGGGGGCTGTACGTCTGTGTTCGTAAATGATAAATGAGTGTGTAGTTTTGAGGTGTGTGTGTAACCGATCGCTGTTGGTGTGTGTGCATTTGGTCTCCTGGAGAGACTGTGGCTCATTAGTTTCTTAGGCGATGAGAGAGGTCTGCTCCAAAAATAACACACACTATTTCCTGTCCATTAAACCACAATTTCACACTAATCTGAGCTTAACGACGTACACACGCGTATGCACAATAAATATCTCCCCTGACATACGCTTAGCCTCTAAAATCCTCTGAGACACACAACATCAATCCTACACAAACATACATGCATGGTCCCATTAAATATCGATTTCACACCAATCTGAGCATCTCCCCAGTCTGGGTTTGTCAGAGGACAGGGATGGAGCGATGCAGGGTGAGGGAGCAGGAGAATAGAGATGGAGTGATGGAGAGGAGGAGGACACTAGTGGGAGAGACGTATAGTAAGAAAGTAAGTTTTTTTAAAAGTAGATTTTGTTTGGATTAATTCCTGGATAACTTCTTAGAAAATCTACACAGTTCCAGCAACTGAAAACTTTAAATTTAAACATGGTAATTTTTAGGCCTGGAGAGTAATTGTTTGAAAGTCATTAAAATTGATAAGAGACAACTGAAATTTCTACTGTGAATAATAATTTTATTACTGTTATCTGCTCTAAAATATTTAATTGACTAGAAATTGTGTGTGTGAGTGAGTGCAGTCTCTATAACATGATTTTAAAGTTGGGATTAAATCTAATTTATATGTATAATTACACTGTAACAAGGACTCCTTAAAATAAAGTGTAACCAAATTTATATATCATGACTTACTATTCTTGTGATATGACCGACTTCTCTGCTGACGTATACTATAGTTAAAGGGGTCATAAGATGCTGCTAAAAAGAACAGTATTTTGTGTATTTGGTGTAATGAAATGTGTTTATGCGGTTTAAGGTTAAAAAAACACATTATTTTCCACATACTGTATATTATTGTTTCTCCTCTATGCCCCGCCTTTCTGAAACGCGTCGCTTCCCACATCGTGACGTAGGTATGTGGGGGCGTGTTAGAACGAGCCGTTTTAGGTAGGTGTGGCTGACTCTTAACTTTTATAAAGAATATCTCTTTGGATTTGAGACTTTAGTCTTTGCAACTTTACAGATCTTCTTTATGCACCAAGAGCTTGTAACACTCCAAAGAGAAAGGAAAAATTTTAATCGCATCATATGACCCCTTTAAACCAGTTGCATTCAGATCTGCCTCAATTCCGATATGCAACGCTCACTTTTAAGACTCCAATCAATACCCGATGGATAAAATAAAGTTCCGTTCTACTTTTCTTGTTCTTTTCTGATAATCTGTTTCACTCGGACATACGTCACAATATGGATATGCAGCAGGGCTGTAGCTGAGGTATGCGGGGCCCCTGTACAGGTTGTACCCGTGGGTCCTATTTGAAATTGTGTAATTAGACTAGCACAAATAAATAAATAAATAGAACAAAGATTCAAATTAAACAATGCTTTATTTTTTTTTTTTTTTCAGTTTTGTCAGTGTTCTGGTACAGAAATTGAATAAACAAATGTAAAATAGCATTGAATAGTTTAATTGTGTATATAACTGTATTAATTAAATATAGACTAATCCTTGTTAAAGCTATAAAAATTTAATTAAATCGAGAACTGAGTGATTTTCTCTTTTTTTTTCTTGGATTAACATTAAGGACACCAACAGCAGCTAATTAATTAGGCGAGGTCACTTTAAGACACAACACATGGATCCAAAGACACACATCTTTCTTAACTGTTTACGTTAACTTAAGGGGACATCGGATGCAAAAATTCACTTTTACATGGTGTTTGAACTTAAATGTGTCTTGGCAGTGTGTGTACACAACCACCCTATAATGATAAAAATCCACCCAGTGCTTTTTTTTTTAATTCCCACAAATCATAAGCACTTTCTCAGATCAAGCCATTCACAGAATCTGAATCATGGGGGGAAAAGTGACGTCACTGTGCACAGGTCCCTCCCACGACTGTTGACGGACACTGCTGTTTTAGCATAGATCCGCCCTGAGTGAGCTGTAAACAGTCCGCCATTGTTTCGACACCGCACTAGCAGGTGTTGACAAGAATGGCTCCTAAGCAATTAAGGTGTTTTGTTGTTAGATGTAAGAATGAACATAGCAGTCGTCATTTACTCCCGACATCTGAGTCGCTGAAGATGCAGTGGATTACTTTTGTTTTTTAAGGGAATGCGCCCCCAATCTACCTAAATGCGTTTATGTCTGCGCGAATCATTTTACTCCAGACTGCTTTCTGAACGAGGGACAATTCAAGCAGGTTTTGCTAAAAAGTTAAAACTCAAGGATGGAGCAGTACCCACTGTTCATGATCCAGCTGCACCTCCAGAAGAAGTAAGTCCCACACTTTATATTTCTTATGATTATTTGCAAATCGCCTTTGGGGTGAGCAGAGCTCATTAGATTTAAAGAGACATGCACCGAAATGGGCTGCTGTGAACAGAGCTGTTTTTGACAAGGTAAAAAGGGTGTTGTTTTACACGACCACTGAGGAATTTTAACCAAAGTATGTTACAGACATTTCATGAAGATCCTAAAGAATCATACCAACTTGTGGAAAATGGGTATCCGAGGCCCTCTTTAAGACATAACCAACATTTTTTGAGGATACTCACCAAGACGGGTGAGTATCCATTCAAGCACAAAAAGACACAAAAGAGAACTCCATTCAGTGTTCGCGGGCTGTGCGCACAGAACACGGCGCACAAGAACTGAATTCTTTCATCATTCACTGAAGTTCTTTCATCTTGTTGCTTGCGCTTGAACCACTTTAATGTTCAAATTGGCAGGGTCTATTTGTCCATTCAAGAGTAAGAAGATGTGAAATAGAACTCAATTCTGGACTTGCACTTTGTCAGAAACGCGTCTCTCTCTGTGCGCGCTATGCACGCAGAACACAGCGTGCAAGTACTGAATTGAGTTATTTCGTGGCTTCTTGTGCTTGAATACTTTAAAATCACTTGAATGTTTAAACTGGCAAGAATTTAAAACACGTGCAAATGATAAACTTTCGTGACGACACGCAGCAGTGACCGATCGGGCAGTCCGTCAACTGTCCCAAGCGTCTTTCACGCTGGCCCCCGACAGCAGTGGGCCCCTAAAATCATCACCACCTTTCTCCCCACTAGCTACTACGACCCTGATATGCAGTTGTGTACAATTTCCATTTTATGCCAGCTTCAAAAAATCGTTGCTAAGTCATTATAAGCAGCTGAAAAATAATGGCAAAATCATGAAAATTCATTGTTAATATGGTGTGGGAACTCTGAATCTATAGGTCTGAAGTGCTGTGAAATTTAATGATTTTTAGAAAGCTGTGGCTGGCTGAGAAAAAAATACAGATGCAGTGTCAGGCCTAAGAGAGGCTTCTTATTTAAAATAAAATAACCATAAAATCTAGAATAAAAGTAACGTATCCATGGGGAATATATAAGATTTAAGGTTGGGGAGTACAGCGAAGGGTGTAGTCTAGTTTAGGACGAGGTCAACACATGTTCCTAAAGTCCAGGGTACTGTATGTGTGCTTGCAGGTCCTAAAAGTGAGCGTTAGGGGATTCTCTCTGGACATTTTATTTTTCCTATTTAATGTTTTATGTTCTTTTTATTTAAATTAAACACCTCTCTGAGGCTGTGTGTCACATGCATTGTGGTTATCCAGCCACAAGGGCATCATTTAGAAAGAATGAATCAAATATGATCTTTATTTATCACTGCAAAACCAGGAGCAGTGGAATTTATTTCCATTA